CCTGCCGCAGCGAGCTCCCCGGGCACCTGCCAAAACACACTCGTTAACACCTACACCCAAAGGGGATCATCCGAGAGCTCCGATTCTCGGACAAGCCAATGGAAAGACTCTTGAGTGGCTTTATACCGCCTTAGGATCAGGCCATTGCCCTGCCTCGTGTCTCCTCGGCTTTCTCCAGACAAAACTCCCTCTCTCCTGAGCGCTCCAGCTGCTCTTAGTCACTCTCACAACAGCCCCTGGAAGTTATTTTGCTGCAGAGGAGGCTTCATGCTCCTGTCAGGGACTTCACCTGCTGCAGGACAGCAGCATCAAAGCCCAGGGCAGCACCCTGGCAGTGCTGGGCACCTCTGCTTTCCCTGCAGCCACAGAATGGACAGCACTAATGGATTCTTTATTTCCAGATGGAATAGTTGAGAGCACAGTGGTCAGTGGAGCAGCACAATCAGCTGCACGACGGAGCCTTGAGATGCTCCAGAAGGAACGTGCTCCTGGGCCCCAGGATGGGTTTTTGCCTTATGCCAATGCTTGCTCCTGTCAGGGGTGCAGGAGTGATTGGAGCAGTCTCTCCTTTGTGTCACAAGGCTGCTCCCAACACTCCCACAAGGAAAAAGCAGCAGGAAACTGCAAGGGGTTAAAAATGCATGGCACTTTTGGGCTCGGTCTCTGCCTCTGGGAGGATCCTGCACCCACAACAAAGTGTTAGAGTCTTACTAATGCAGGGTGTGTAAATGATGATGTGTTAATAATTTTAAGCCCTTATCCCCTGGTATGATTGAGCAGGCTCAGGATGAGGAATGAAGGCTCCACACAAACACCCTGCCAGCAAAAAGCTGCTGCGGTGCCTTTGCTCCCCGAGCTGGGCTTCAGCCAGGCAGAGACTCCCCCAGGTGCCCGAGGGTCCCTGTGTCATCCTGGGGTCCCACAGCTGGGAATTCCCTGTCACTCCACCTTTCTCCCTGCCAGCCTGGCCCGTGGGACCCCAGCTACAGCCACCAGATGATTGCCAAGCCCTTTGTGCAGGGCAGGAATCACATTCCCAGATGGGACCCTGACAGAACTGGAGCACTCTTTTATAATATTCCAATTGATGTTCTAAGTGAAATTTCATCACTCATTTTTTTAAAAAATAGCCAAGGATAATAATATCCTAGAACTTCTTTTCCACTACTGGTCTAATCTATTTTTTAAGAAAAACTATGATATGTGCATTCCTTTGGTTTGCCCAGCAGACTTCAGAACTTACTGGGAACGTGGAGATATGAGCAATTTTTCCATTGTCCTTTCTTGCCAAACCACTTTAAGCTTGAAATTGGGGGGTAATATCTCTGACTCAACCTGACCCCAAAATTGAAAAGTAGTGTGTGTGCCTGTGACTCTCAAAGGAACTACCAGATATTTCTCCCTTCTCCCTGCCTCCTTTTTTTTCTCTAATAACACTCCCCACTCTCCAGACCAAGCAACCAGTCACTCACAGTCTGAGCTCATTTTAAAGAGCTTGGATTAAGTCCATGTGCAAGTTTTAGTTGCCTGTTAAATTTCTAATGCCTGCCACATACACCATTAGAACACTTAGATTTTTAAGACAGCATTGACTCATATTTTCTTTGGGTTTTAGCAGCTAAATAGACATGCAGCTTTCTTAATCTGCTTTTTTCTACCTCTTTTTCCTTTTAAAAAATTAACGTAAAAGTATTGCAGTATTAGAGATCCAGAGTAAATTTTGTGTGGGACAAATAATAATTAGCACAGACATTTCTGAGATAAAAGAAAATTTCTTCATCTCAGAGCATCCTCTGCTCCCTTGCATTGGAGATGTTATTGGTGCAGGGAATACAGTGGGGCAGTGCAAGTAGAAACTGAAAGCAGTAAATGAGAAGTTACTTTGGGAGTGCATTTAAACACTGAGAAATACGTTAAGTACTCCCTAACTCCCAGTTTGTATTACACTAGAAATGCTCTTTTTAGCTTTGTTTTTGGATTCCCCGTCCCCCAGTACCTAGGTAGTCCAGTATTCACATTCCTCTGAAGTTTTATTGAAGCGCAGCCCTGCCAAAGGCCAGCACGGATCCAAGAACGTGGAAGAGGACTGCTTCCACCCTGCAGTTCCCTGAAATGGCAGCACGGAGCAGCTCCAGCTCTGCGCTGTGTGCAGCCTGCTGCAAGCATACGTGGCTGCAAGTTTTGGTCATGCTGCCAAGGACAGCCTTTGCTTCAGTCCTTCAAACACCTTTTTGGCTCCTGAAAACAGCTTCATAAAAAACCCCAGAGCGAATGCTGCCTCCTGCACCTCAGGGTGGCTGCTGAGGGCCCGGCCAGAGCTGGCACCACTCTGATGACCCCGGACACAGGAGAAACGCATGGAGGATCCTTGGAGAAAGGAAGGCTCTGATGTGAAAAAGATGGAGCTTTAGGAAAACCAAGCAGTGTTTCTGGTCCTAGGACCCTGTACTCCAGCCTTTCACCCCAGCCTTAAGGAAATCAAGCTTTGGGAAGCGTTTGTCACATTGTTTGGGTTTTTTCTTTGATGTTTCTGAGTGTATATGCTGGGCTGAAGAGCCCACAGTCCATTTAAGTCTAGGATCTTTCCTGCCTTTCCTTCACCACTAATTGTTAATGACAGACTGTGGGCACTATTTGTCAGTTATGTAGTTATTAACAGCTAGAACTTAATTTATAATGTTTTATTTTCATTGTGGGCTCAAGGGCCCGTTTTGGGTCTAAACCAAACTCCACTTGGCCTTTGGAAGGCTCCAAAAACTTCAGCTGTCAGTTGAGCTGGATTCTACAGCTGCCTGCACCTACCAATGGCTTCATGCCCCTCTAATATTTAGGCCAGATCTGTATTTTGTGCGTTTGTAACATTCCAAACCCAGCCCCCAGAGTGTTCCAGCTCACATCTCTGTGCTCTCAGAGGTGTGGGAACTCTGTTCCTGCGGGTTCTGGGCAGTGCTCACACAGGAGTGGTGTCCTCGTGTGCCCTGAGAGCTGCAGGGACACACTCCCTTAAAGCCTCCTGCTCCCTGACATTTGTCAAGTTGTCTGCTGGGAAAAATCCTCCAATCCTGCAGGCTGAGCTAATTCCTGCGTTTCTCTAGCACTTTTCTCACTGCTGTCTTGTCACCCTGGTTCCTGGGCAGAGTCCGAATTGAAGATTACGTGTTCCAGCAGCGAGGCTCTTTCGCGTGACACGCTCCTCTTGGAAAGCAAAAGGTGCCTTTTCCAGTTGTGGAGTATTACTAACCCTAGGAGCAGCTGAGGATAAGTTTCAGGCTTCACATGCCTAGTGGGAAGTGAAGGATGGGACAGAGCTCTAGCAGAAGTCAGGGTCATCTCCCCATGCCCTCCTGCCAATCACCTGTATCTCACTCAAAAAGCCCAGTGTTTTTGTGTCCTTTCTTCCTGAGGCGAATACAATTGATGCTCTCCAGTTCCCTCTGTGTGGTGTCAGCTCTGAGGATGACAGCTCTCTTTAGTGCTAAGCCAAGATCAGCAAGTATATTTTGTTTTTCTAATGAATTTTAAATAGCAGAGCCAATGATAAAAGGCCAGTGCTCAGCAAACAGTAAGGATCACTGGACAACAGACACAAACAATCCCATTTAACAGATGTTTAAACAATTCAGAACAAATCAGGCTCTCAGAGAGAGCAGCACAGGTTCCGCAGGGACTGGCAGTGTCTGTGAACACCTCAGTGAACACTCTGCATGCTCACCTGCCCCTTTGGACAGGCACTTTTCCCTATCCCCTGGCACCTCCCAGTAAGAAATTCATTCCACAAGGCTGATTCCAGTGTGACTGCTGCCCAGCTGGCCTGATGCAGGGGACCAGCCAGTCCTGGGCTTCCCCAGAAACCCAGTGAAGAACCTGACTGCAAACTGTAGGGAAAGTCTGAGCTCTTGTCCCGTGGACGAGCAAAGGGTTGTGATGAGAAGGCAATTTGTCATTACTTGGCTGGACACATTAATGGGAAAGGCAGTAGGTTATAAGCCCAACTGAAGAGATTCTGGTTCATGTGTGCTTTAAAACAGACTTTCTCTGACCTTAGACAAGTAACGTAACTTAAAGATTTGTCTTGCAGTTAAAGCCATCGTGCTGACAGGCTTAGCAAATAAAAACAGGCTGAAGTAAACACCAAAATGCTTTTTTAATGATCTTGGTCCCTCCCTGCCCTGTCTACAGACTAGGAGCATTTTTCAAACTCACAGACATGATGACAGAAAGGGCACCACACAGACAGGTAAGCGAGGGAGCAGCCCTGCTGTGGGCACAGCAAGCCGGGGTGCCCAGTGCCCCCCGAGTGCATCACTGCTGGTCCCAGCAGCCAGCCCGGGGGCAGGAGGCTGTCGGGGGCACTGAGCAGCGCCCTGTGCACAGCCGGGGGAGTTGGGGTGAATGGAATCAATGCGGTGGGGCTGGCAGCAGGGAACCGGCGAGCGCCCATCCTCCGAGATGCTGTTTGTGATGAGAACAGAGGCCGTGTGCCCGATGGCCCCGCTGCCCCGGAGGGTGCCCCGGCGAGCAGAGGCTGTGCTGTGCCCACGGGCACCCGCAGCTGCGGGAGCGGAGCACATGGCGCGGGATGCGCGAAGCAGGGCAGGGGCAGGGGCAGGGCGGGACCCTGCCAGTCTCCGCGGAGAGGGGCCGCGGGACAGACAGCGGGGCAGGCCAAACGTGGGGCATCAGGGGGAGATGCCGGGCCAGAGGACATCATTTCTGGAGCCCCCGGTGCCGGGGCAGGCCCGTTCTCCCCGCGCCGCCAGCCCGGTGCGGTGCTGCCGGGCCGGTGCCGGCTCCTCCCCGGGGGCGGCCCCGGCGCAGGTGGCTGTGAGGAGCAGGAAGCTGCCCCGCTGCCGCCTGGCCTCGCGTTCCGAGTTGTGCTGAGCTGTTCCGAGTTGTGCTGAGCCGTGCTGAGCCGTGCCGAGCCGCTCCGAGCCGCTCCGAGCCGTGCCGCCCGGGGCTCGCCGCCCGCAGCCGCCGTCGGGGCACCGCGCCCGCCGCAGCCTCCGCAGCCTCCCCAGCCGGGGCATTTCTCGGTGCTCTCTCGCGGTGTCGCCTCCGTTTCCCGGCCGGCTCCCGCCGCCGGAGGCTCGGCCGGGTCGCGGCCCTCGGGGCAGCGCCGCTCCCGGGCCGCCATGAGCGCCGCGGGCCCCGGGCCCGGCCCCGAGCCCGGCCCGCAGCACGGGCACCCCGGGCCCGGCCCGGCCCGGCCCGACAGCCCGCAGGAGGAGTTCGACTTCTCCATCCTCTTCGACTACGACTACCTGAAGCCGATCGAAGGTTGGTGAGGGGCCGCCCGGGCGCGGCGGAGCCCCCGGCAGCTCCTCGGGGCACGGCGGCACCGCCCGGGCCCGGCCCGCCGGCGTCCGGGGCCGCGGGGCCGAAAGGTGCGAGCCCCGGGCCGCTGCAGCCATGGCTCGGGGTCCGGCCGGGATGGCGGCAGGCTGGCATGCCGTGCCCGGGATGCAGTGTCCGGGATGCAGTGTCTGGGATGCAGTGCCCGGGATGCAGTGACCGGGATGCAGTGACCGGGATGCAGTTTCCATGCCGGGATACAGTGCCCGGGATGCAGTTTCCATGCTGGCATGCAGTGCCCGGGATGCAGTGCCCAGGATGCAGTGTCTGGGATGCAGTTTCCATGCCGGGATGCAGTGCCCGGGATGCAGTGTCAGGCTGGGATGCAGTGTCCATACCGGGATGCAGTGTCCATGCCAGAATGCAGTGTCAGACCAGCTGCAGGACATCACTGCGACCCCGGAGCCGTGCAGCCGGCAGTGAGCGCTGCAGGGGCAGCGGAGGTGCCCGGCACAGCCCGGCCGGGCTCTTTCTGCCCCACACCATGCCCAGCGTGCTCCAGGAGCTCCCTGCCAGCTCTTTCTGCCCCAGCACTGGGCACAGCTGCCCCGGGAGCTCCCTGGCAGCTCTTCCTGCCTCAGCACTGGGCACAGCTGCCCCGGGAGCTCCCTGCCAGCTCTTCCTGCCCCAGCACCGTGCCCAGCGTGCCCCAGGAGCTCCCTGCCAGCTCTCGCTGCCCTGCACCATGCCCAGCGTGCTCCAGGAGCTCCCTGCCAGCTCTTCCTGCCCCAGCACTGGGCACAGCTGCCCCGGGAGCTCCCTGGCAGCTCTTCCTGCCCCAGCACTGGGCACAGCTGCCCCAGGAGCTCCCTGGCAGCCGGATCGCTGGGGCGTGCAGCCCTCGGATGCCCGCCCTGAGCCTGACCCTCCCGCAGCCCTGGCAGCGGGCTGGGCACAGCTGGCTCCAGCTTGGGGACAGACACCACCAGATTAATTTAAAATTGAGGAAAAAAGAGAGGTCTGTAGACTGTTCTGCTTTTCTGAGCTTATGCTGTGGTACTTAAAAGTGCAGTGCCAAGTGTTGCCGTACTTTCTAAATGGTAATTCTGTCTGTTGATGGTACTGGGCAGGGATACTTCCCATAAAATGTAGATTTGTGTAAACCAGACAAAGCTGAAAGAGAGGAGCCAGAGGAATGATTTGTTGGGATGTTGTTTCTAAGACACATTGGTTTGGATTCTGCACAGTGCAGAGCTGGTGTTTCCCTGGGGCATCTCAGAGATGTTGTGCTCCTCTAAAGGAGGAGACCTTTGAGGCCTGAAGCGTGGTGTCATCAGTGAAATGGAGAGCTGTTGCTGAGTTTTATTCTCTCTGCCCTTGTTTAAGTGTACAGGTGTACACCAGCATCGAAGCTGACTGGGGATGGTTCATGCCATCAGATGGACAAAGCTGAATTTTCTTTCAAGGCTTCATGTAGATCAAAATAAGCTAAAATAAACCCACGATGAGGAGGGGTTCGTTAATGGTTTTAATGAAAATACACTGAATTTCAGTGAAAGCTTCAGATGCTGGTGTGTTCACATCTTTACAGTAGACAGTGCTGCTGTGAAGCCTTAAGTGGGAAGTTCTGCAGAATATAATCACACATAGGTGGGGGGCAGAAAGTTTAATCTTCAAACCACATAAATGCAGAGCAGTATGTGCTTGTTGTAGAAGTAACTTCCTTCTTGAGCCTGCTTTCTGCACTTTTGAATGGCTTGAAACCATAATTAGTAGTAATTTTGTTCCAAAGATGGAAATCATTAGCATTAAAAAAAAAAAAAAAAAAGAGAGAGAGAGATCCTAACCATATATATGAGCATTGTAATCTGGAGAACATTCTCCCTGGCTTTGAAAAGGCAGCAGCTCCAGTCTGTAAGCAATCCAGGACACATCCACAAACTCCAATGTACAAAAGATGAAAGAGTGTTTACATGAGAGCAGAAAATGGTCAAATTGTGAGCAAGGGCTTTGTCCACATGCTGGTGGTAACTGGTGCTCATTGTCCATGTGCAGTCCTGGCCTCATCTGAACTGCACTTGGGCACACAAGTCCTGTGCAGAGGAGGATTCAAAGTGGAACCGAAACCAAAGGAGTGGGTCCCAGCACTTCAGTCTGGTTCCTGCATTTGGAGTCCTCCCAGCCTGGTCTGCTCCACCCACTGCTCATGACAAATCCTAAAAGAACAAATCTGTAAGCATGTTCAAAGGGATTTTTTAAATTAAAAAAAATACAGGAAAAACGTCAATTTTGGGCTCTAGGAATGGATTGGGTGGATGTTTATTCCTGATAAACAATTTTTTAAAAGGTTGGAATTTGGCAGTATCCATCCCAAAGTTGTGTTTGGAAAGCAGGACCTGTATCACAACTTGTTGTCATGGGGATGGCAGAAATATCCTTCCTGAAGGTGTCTGGCTTTCAGTAGTGCTTGTGTTTGCCTGGGCCAACAGGAGCAGGGGCTGCTATAAAAGCAACAGGGAAAGGAAGGGCCAACAGAAATCCTGCATCAATATTATTAATATTAGATGTTCCTCTCGAAGCCAGCCATTTCCAAAAGCAGCAGTGCTGTAGGGAGTGCTTTTTACCTTTACTTGCAGACTTTAATTAGGAATCCTCTCAGGGTTTGCCAACAAGAAACATCTGCTGAACTCAGGGGCCTGCCCAGGTGAACAGGATTTGGGTGGGGAGTGTGGGCAAGGCATTCGCTGCTGTCAGGCAGAAGCTGTGATTTGTGGTTTCATTTGGCCATTGAGGGTGTTTTCTGTGTCCTTTAAGCTAAAAAGTGTTAGCTGCATTCCCTGCAGAGCTCCTGTGCAGGTGTTGGTAGTGGTATCAGTGATAGCCCAAATTTTAGCTCGTTTCCAACATGCCAGGTGAGTTAATGAGCATTTCCAAATGAGCTCCCACAAGCTCCCAGAGGAGAAAGTTCTGATAACTGCTCTGTGTGCTCTTCCCTAACACCTGCTGTTGGCTGCTCTGAGAGGCAAAACGCTGAACTGGGACAGTTCTCTGCCCCAGCAGCTCCCTTCAGGTTTGCTGGGCTCCCTGTGTGCTGATCTGCTGAGAGGTGAAGCTGCCACATCATTTTTAGTGTTTGAGCTCAACCCTTCTGGGAGCTGATGCTCTGAGGGGTGTGCTGCAAACCCAACCAAAAGCTGTGTTTAAATAAGATTCCAGATGAACCCCTGCCCTGAGACAACAGGTAAGAATGCAGATTGGTTTGCAGTACTTTCTCGAGGCTCAGCCCTTGCTGTAGCTCATTTGAGACTGCATCTGGTGATCTGAATCTACAAGGTCTGTGTGTGTGTGGTGTAGAGAGGGGAAGCAGGGAGCATCCATAAATATTAATATTCCTCCAAATGCTTGTTTGTGTGCAGACAGGCTCCCAGGGACACTGCCACGTCTTGTAGGTGTCAAGCCCTGAATAATTTGCCTCGTTCCTTTTTTTTCTTCTCCCAGATGCAAAGCTATTAAAAGGAAAAAAACTGAAAGTGCATGCAGTTGGGTCCTGGGGCTGGCTCAGGAACACAGGAGGCAGTGTTCAGCCCTGCTATAAAGAAACAAATATACACATCTACCAGAGAATTCCAGATTTCACTCAGGAAACCAGCTCTCACTTGGAGCTTCCAAGCAGTTAGTGTAAATAGCAGAGAACTCGGCTTTTGAAAAATGCAAAGTAGCTCTGGACTGGCCCTGTCAAATGACAATAAGCAAGTTAATTAAAGAAAGAAAAGAGACTCTTTTACTTATGCAAATAAGGGACTCCAGTTCAATCTCGGGAGCTGCAGCCAGCGGATGTGAGGTCAAAACCCAACTCGTGCCCCTGGCCTGTGCAGGGCTATCTTTAGCTTTCCCTAGAGGATGCTTTGGATAAACCCAGCATGGAATGCAGCTGCTGGTGGGCCTCTGTTCCCTAACTTCATGCTGATTGTCACATCTGGCTGAGTGGCTGGCTTTGAAGGCGCTGCCTTGTTGGAAAGCAGCACAGGGTGGCTCTCCCCAGGCCATGTGTGCTCACACTGCCTGCCCTGGCCTTGGGGAACCTCGGCAGCCTTTTCCTCTTCCTTTCTGCTGTCCAGAGAGGTGTGAAAAGGAGTTTGGTACATCCAAGGCCTTTGCAACTGAAATCCCTTGATCTCTCTCACCTGTGATTCAGCTCTCCCTGGGTTCCAAGGGGCACGCTTGAGGGTCTCCCCCTGGAGAGCTGCCCGTGCCCTTCCCGGGGCTGGCTTGGTGGTTATTTGCACTGCAGGAGCATCCAGACCCCTGCTTCACTCCCTGCTGTGGTGAGGGAGGCAGTCATGTGGGTGAAAGCTGTGGAAAAAGGGGCAGTGAGAGCTGGCAGGAGTTTGGGTGGGATCCCAGAAGGTTTGGGCATCACACCGCTCTGGGAAGAGGAGCTGAGCGACACAGGGAAGGCTCTTTGCTGGCAGCAAAGCTGACTGAGGGCAGTGCCAGCGCTGCCTGGGTGTGAAACTCGCTTTCTTTTAACCCCCTGTCAGAGCAAAAGGATCTTCTGGTACTGAATCAGAGGGTGAATCAGCAGTGAAACCTCAGGCTGGGAAATGCTTGAGTGCAGGGAGGGGGGGAGTGCTGAGGAGCTGTCTGTGGAATGCCCAGCAGAACAGCAGTGCAGAGGACAGTCCTTTGCTGCAGCATTGCAGTCTGTGTTCTGGGATGCAGGATGCAGAGATGGATGAGCTCTGGAGGGTGGCACAGCCTTGGCAGCAAAGCTGTACCTCCGAGTCGCTTCAGTCCTTGGAGAACACCTTTGCTGGGCTGTCCAAAGCCCGGGTTTGATGGGTGTCGCTGTGGGTGAGGGGTGTGCTCGTTTTTCAGCAGACTTTTAAAATTACACGTGCACATAGCAATACATTTGCTTGTCTCATACCCCTCAGCAGGAGCCTCCCCTGCCGGCTCTGCTGCTGGGTGTGTTGAGTTTTGGGGCTGTACCTGCTGTCTGTACCTGGCACACTTTGAGGGGTGTGGTGGGGCAGCTGTAGCTGATGCTGTGCTGCACAGGAGCTGAAAGTCTCACCTGTTCCTTCAGGTGAAGCTGTTCAGGTCTCTGCTCCTGCTGCTCCCTGCACAAATCCTGCCTGGAGCCTGGCATCCAGCCTGGATCTGCCCGGGGCTGGTTGTGCCCCCTGGCACCTGCTGGGATTGGGGTGTTCTCCCCGAGAGATGGTTTGGGATGGTTCAGTTTGGGATGGTTCAGTTTGGGATTGGTTGGTTCACCATGGTTCGGTTTTGGGATGGTTTGGTTTGGGATTGGTTGGTTCGCCATGGTTCAGTTCGCCATGGTTCAGTTTTGGGATGGTTTGGTTTTGGGATTGGTTGGTTTGCCATGGTTCGGTTTTGGGATGGTTCGGTTCGCCATGGTTTGGTTCTCCATGGTTTGGTTTTGGGATGGTTTGGTTTGGGATTGGTTGGTTTGCCATGGTTTGGTTCGCCATGGTTCAGTTTTGGGATGGTTTGGTTTTGGGATGGTTTGGTTTTGGGATGGTTTGGTTTTGGGATGGTTCGGTTCGCCATGGTTCGGTTTGGGATTGGTTGGTTTTGGGATGGTTCGGTTTGGGATTGGTTGGTTCGCCGTGGTTTGGGTTTGGGATGGTTTGGGATGGTTCAGGTTTGGGATGGTGTGGTTTGGGATGGTTCGGTTTTGGGGTGGTTCGGTTCGCCATGGTTCAGTTTGGGATGGTTTGGTTCTCCATGGTTCGGTTTGGGATTGGTTGGTTCGCCATGGTTCGGTTCACCATGGTTGGTTCGCCATGGTTCGGTTTTGGGATGGTTCGGTTCGCCATGGTTCAGTTTGGGATGGTTCGGTTCTCCATGGTTCGGTTTGGGATTGGTTGGTTCGCCATGGTTTGGTTCGCCATGGTTGGTTCGCCATGGTTCGGCGGGAGGCGTGTTCCTCTGCTCGCTGCGGGGACGTGAGGAGCTCTGCTCAGAGGAATCTCGGCGGCGATCTCGAGGCTCGATGTGTCAGACCTGAGTGATGGGGATGACACACCGCTCCGGGTGCCAAGGCTCTGAGATCAACGCCGCTAAAAATACGTTTGGCTCAGCGCTCAGTGACTCGTTGCTGCTTCCCTAGCCCCGAACAGCTGTGTGCTGGGATTAAAAGCCAGAGGGAACCTTGAGAAATGTGCAAGCTGGAGTGTCCTGTGCAGCTCCCCTCCTGTCCCAGCCCTTCTGTGTGTTGGTTTGTTTGCTCGGCTCTTGGGGTTTCCTGCTGAGCACGAAGGCTCAGCAGTTCCTAAAAATGAACAGAAGCCCGCTGAAAAGAAGTCAAAATCTCTCTGCATGTAGAAGTTTCACCAGGAACTTCTACTACTTTTGCAGAAAGCACAGTCTGCTCCTGGCCGGCTTTCTGTATGGCATTTTCTCATGGGAATTGCTGTTTCATGTCATGTAGTAGTAAGAGAAAATGCTGGAACAGTAATTTAAATATTAAAATATTTAAATGAAACCCTTTGCCTGTGACATGCACTGATCTGTGCCCAAAGTGAGCAGATAGGGCGAATTAATCCCAAATTGTGGAGCTGTATCAGGTATTTCCTGCTGGATACACTGAAATCTTTAAAAACACATACAAATCCTGGTAATATTTTGCATGTTTTTGTGTGATAACAAATGTTCTTTGGCTCCCAGGCTGGGGCAGCTCCAGGAGCTGCTGTCCATGGGAATACCTGCCATGGCTCTGCTCTCTGGGATGCCCCTGCCTTTGCACACCCTTGGGTGCTGGGACCAGACTGGAGCTGGGCTCTGCAAGGCAGGTTCCAGGGAATTCTGTGTTTCCTGGAAGCATCCCTGTACTCTGCAGCCTGGGCAGAGTTTGCAAAATGGGCATTTCTGAAAACTGAGGATTTTTGGTACCAGCAGAGAGAGGGTTCTACTGAACACTTACTTGTTATTGTGTATTTTATAATCCCTGTCTGAAAATGTTCCCTGGGCTGAAATTGGAATGTGATTGCCCTTAACCACAGGGCTGGATTATTTCTCCCTCTCTCTCTTCTCTAACAAATATTTGTGAATGTGTTTTCTGACTCACATGAAGCCTGTCACCAAACTTGCTGTCATGATACAGAGCCAAACAAATCATCACACAGAAGTGACTTTTCAGTTTGAGAGTTTGAGCTCAGCTTTGGTTCACAAAGCCTTTCCTGGCTGGGTTTGGCTGTGTAAGGAAGGTGTTTCTCCCTTCTCCAAAAGCTGCTCCTCAACATTTGGTTTTCTGTAGACCTGGTTGGAAGCGATTTTGTGATGTTGGCAAAATGTGAGCGAGGTGTCCCTTGGCTGTCCTGGCAGGAGGGCAGCCCTGCTGTGGACAGAGGGGCTGATGAGCTGCTGACGTGCCCAGGGGATCCCTCGGGTGAGGCTCAGGCAGCAGGAGCCCGGCTGGAGGTGTTTGCAGTGCTTCAGTCCGTGCTGCACCTGCCCGGGGCGCTTGAGCTTCCCTGGCTCTTAATCCACTACTTCTCACAGGCATTAACTGCAGTGAAAAAGAATTAAATAATAAGCGAATATCAGATCACAGCCAGTTTATAAATATGCATTTTTTTAACCCGTGATTGCTCAGCTTCTGTAACAATATTTACAGTCTTAAAGAGACCCTTCTTTTTCCAGAAGAACCGACTCCACATAAAACCAACAGCCCACCCTCTGGAGTTACATACGCTCATGATGTCCTGGACTGTGGCCTCAAGCCATGCCCCCTGCCTTTTGCTAGCCTTTCTGCAGATCCCATGGGCAGATACGGACAGCCAGATAGCATAGGGCCGCCACCTACACACCCTGCCAGCGCCGCAGGGGCCTCTGCTCCGAGCCCTAGGATTGAAATAACTCCATATCACGAACTGATTCACTCGGGGGGTCCCTTCCGCGGCAGAGACACAGATGTTCTGTTGGCAGAACATCAGCCAAACTCAGCCACCACTAGCCCGAGGGTTACCCTGCCCGTCCCTGGCTTTGAGGGCTACAGAGAACCACTGTGTCTGAGCCCAGCCAGTAGCGGCTCCTCCGCAAGTTTCATTTCAGAGACAAATGTATCTCCTTGCACCTCACCATGTGTTTCACCAAATAATGGGCCTAGTGATGACCTTTGTCCACAGTTTCAAAACATCCATACTCATTATTCTCCTAGAACCTCTCCAATAATGTCACCACGAACAAGCATCACGGAGGAAGCCTGCTTGGGACGCCACTCACCATCACCCTGTCCCAACTCAAGGTCCTCGTCACCGGGTGCAAAGCGGAGGTTCTCTTGCACCGGGCTCTACAGCAGCCAGCTGCCCTCCAGCTCTCCCCGGCCCTCACGGACCCCCTCTCCTCAGCCCTCTCCTCGCGGCCCCCTGAGAGAGGACAGCTCTGCAGTCACTTACACGCAGCTGGCCAGCGCTCCCCTTTCCATGGATGCTATGAGCAGCCTTCCCACCGATCCCTCCTGCGGCGTCCCCACGAAAATCTGGAAAACCAGCCCCGACCCTTCCTCCATGTCTTCCCACAAAAACAGCATTCCGTGCCACGTCTTTCAGACTGTTGACTTCCACGGGCCCTGCGAGCAGGAGGACAGGAGGAACTCGGCTCCAGAATCCATTCTGCTGGTTCCTCCATCCTGGACAAAGCAGCTGGTGCCTGCAATACCCATCTGCAGGTAGGTACTGCTTCCTGTGGGTGTGTTTGCCATGTTTTTTCATGGTATGATGATCCCTAGGGAGGGTTTTCTTGGGCAGGTGCTGCTGCAGACCAGAGCTGAGTGCTCAGGGACAGCACTGGTTAATCAGAGCTTGGTCCATCAGGATTCTGAGATGAAAAAATCAGGGCTGTGAAGAAACATCACCAAAGAGGTTCATTGATAGCACAGTACACTACAAATTTCCAAATGATTTGTCTAAATAGCAGATTGCAGAGAGCCTTTGACAAAGGCTGAACATTCTGGTGCTATCCTGCTGCTCTTAAAATGGTGGCACTGCTTTTGTGATGTCACTTACAAATTTCCATCAAGGATGAAAATGCTTTCAATAATCCTGATTCAAACCAGAGCTGCAGGTCAGATTGAACATGCGGTCAGCTGCAGTGACTTAGTGCTGGCTGTTAATTTGCCAGTTGTCCCTTAGCCCAAATCTCAGCCCTCCGTTGTCTGGCTCTGTGGCAATGCCAGCAGCGAGGGTGCCGAGTGTGTGACTGTGCTGCCAGTCCCTGCTGGCACGCTGGCAGTGCCATCCCGCTGGCACTGAGGCTGTCCCAGGGTGTTCCTGACCTGCTAAACACAAACTGTGAGTGGAAGGGCACAGGCTGTGAGTGCCCTTGGCTTGTCAGACCGGTCCTGGCAGCAGCCTGGGCTCGCAGAGTGCTTTAAAATCCAGTGCAGGCTTTAGCTGTACATTGCAGCGCATTCATTTCGTGTCATAAACCCTTATATGTTTTCATAACAGGAAAATTAGTACCAGGTAAGAGTATTTAGCACTTTATTGATGTGCATTTTAATCTTTGTGGAAATCATAACAATTGTTAAATTGCACAACTGGTAGGTAATGGCAAATGGAGTTAATATTTCACAATACGTATTCTGTGATCCAAGTTGGAGACACACAGGAACGGGTAGATAAAAGAGGGGGATCTTTGAAAAAACAAGCTAGGTAAAAGAGGGGGATCTTTGAAAAAAACAAAAGCTAGGTAAAAGAGGGGGATCTTTGAAAAAAACAGATGTTAGGTAAAAGAGGGGGATCTTTGAAAAAACAGATGCTAGGTAAAAGAGGGGGATCTTTGAAAAAACAGATGCTAGGTAAAAGAGGGGGATCTTTGGAAAAATGTAACTGCTGAAGATATTTCTGTTTAAGGAACAGCCATATCTTACTCTCTTCTGCAAGGAGATGGGCCCACAGAAATTGTCTCCTCAGCAGAGCTTGCAGTGGGACGTGAGCAGCTCAGCCCAGTCTCACGGGATCTCACAGCAGACACCCGAGGGGTTCAGTGGGGCGCTGGGGAAGGGGGGCTCGGGCTTTGGGAAAGCAGGTTCTCAGGGGTCTCCCTGGTGCTGTGTCTCTCTCTGTGTCCCAGCTTGCCCGTGCAGTCCCTGCCTCCCCTGGAGTGGCCCCTGTGCAGCCAGTCGGGCTCCTACGAGCTGCGCATCGAGGTGCAGCCCAAGCCCCACCACCGCGCACACTACGAGACCGAGGGCAGCCGCGGCGCCGTCAAGGCTCCCACCGGCGGCCACCCCGTGGTCCAGGTAAGGCCTGGGGACCGACCTTCCCCCCCTCACACAGCCCTGAATTATCAGGCTAGCCCAGAGATCTGAGCCTGTGAGGGGAGGAATATCAGGAGATGGCAAAGATTCCCAAAAGAGGCTCTTACCCCGAGATAAGTTGGTTCAGCTCTCTTTATTCTGTGATGTCCTTGTGGAGAGCGGGGCAAAAGAGGACGTGTAATTTCTATAGTTTTCCCCCCCTCCACGCAGCCCCCTCTAGGATCCGACCAGCTCAGAGATATGGGGCTGTGAGGGGAGGAATTCCAGGAGAGGGAAAGTATTCAAAAGAAGCTCTTACCCAGGGTGTTGGAACAGCTCTCGTTATTCTGTGGTGTCCATGGAGAGCGGGGCAAAAGAGGAAGAGCAGGAAGTTTCAGGGGTCTATATAGGTTTTGGACAGGGTGGGCTCTCCTGGCTCCCTGCCAACCCCGTTGGGGCAGGGAGGAGGATCCAGGGGTTATCATGATCAGAGCCACAGAGGCCCGGGGAAAGGGGGGACAAAAGGGTGTCCAGGAGCTCACCGTAACAAGGACGAACAGGAAATCTCAGGGGTCTATATAGGTTTTGGACAGGGTGGGCTTCCCTGGCTCTCTGCCAACCCCGTTGGGGCAGGAAGGAGGGTCCAGGGTTGTCTTGATCAAAGTCACAGGTCCTGGGGAAGGGGCACAGAGTGCCCATGAGCTCACTGTAACAGGGGACCTCCTGGAGCAAAACGGGGGCAAGCTCATCTCTGAAATGCTCGCTGGGTGCTCACTGTCCCTGTCAGAGGAGCTTCTGGATGTGCTTAAAGGGACTGATCTGAGCCGTGGCAAAGCTCAGCAGTTTGGGAAGGTTGGTTTGGGTTGGTTTGGGAAAGCTCAGAAATGTGGGCAATGTGCTGGCTGCCTCTTCTGGGCTGTGTAAACCTCGTGTGATCCCCTGTCACGGCTGTCATAAGGTGCCTGGGAAGTCACTGCTGAAACGAGTGAGCAAAATTCAGCTGCCAGTGGTGGAGAGAATGAATTCGTCCCTTTGCTGACCCGAGAGGTGAATGAGCTGAGCCCTTCCTCTGTTTGGAGTGTGAACAGCCCTTCCTTCACCTTTCAAAGGGTGCTATGAAATACTGGCTGAGTGGCTGCCGTGTAGCCAAGTGGGGGCACATCAGTCATTTCCCTCACTTCCCCTGTTCTCAGCCCGTGTTTCCTGAAGGAAAGCCAAAGCCAGGCTGGGGTCGGGGCTGTGCTGTGTCAGTGGAGAGTGCTGCAGTGATGGGTGCAAGCTGCGCAGCCACAGCTCCAGCCTTCACCAAACAAAGCTGGCTGCATCCCACAGATGTTCCTGACACACTCAGGGCTTGCAGGAACCAGGAAAACATTAACATTTATGTGTAATTTCAAGCATGTGATCAATACCACTAATTTCACTGTGTTGGTTTGTGCTTAACTTCAAACATATGTTCAGTATTCCCCTGCAGGCTCACCCCCTTTTAAAATCAAGCCATAAATTGTTAAATCAATGAATTTGTTTGCTTTGATGGAGCTGGACTTACATGTATGGCCTGGGTATTTGAGTAAAGGGTGCAGGGTAATAATAAACAGCAGTCCCATTTTCTACCTCAGTAATGCAGGCTTTTTGGTTTGGGTCTGACAAGGCTGTAGCCTCCTGTGGTGTGTTTGAAGCTGCCTAGGAGCAGGAATGATACCAATCAGCACTTGCTCTTTTCTCGGTTTACTTGCAGCTACAGTATCACTTACCCTCCCAAGGTATTGCTATCAACAGGGTCCCTACTGCAATGAAGGAGTTTCTTGTGACATGGGGAAATAGAATTTGTTTCCTTCCTGCAATCAATATCAATCAAAGAGGCATTTATATTTTCTGTTGAAGACAGGAACCAGTATTGCTTATTTTATCATAATTTGCCATCAAGCTTCAGGATCTAAAACTATAAATTCAAATGTCCACGTTAGCTCCCCGAGCAGATGTGCCTCTGCACAGCTGTGCCTGCATCTGGGGAAAATATGGACAGTTTCTTTCTGAAGGTTTATTGTAAAGCTGGAAGTATTTGTTGAATTTGTGTTCGCTTGAACATAACCAGGTTCATATGGATGCCAAGTAATGAGATAGTTGCACCTGTATGGTTTATGACATCTCAGACTGGGGGATGCTAGTAAAATCCAAAGTTTTCATGTCAGAAGTTATTTGGCTTCAAGGGATCTTTTCTTTTCCCCTCTCCTTCTTTCCTCTCTATGAAGTTTAACTTTTTTGTTCTTGTTAGATGTAAACACAGTATTTTTCTAAAATACAATCTCTCTTGAAACAAATCTGATTTTAAAAAAACCCTTCAATTTACCCTCCACGTGACTAATTACCCAGCTGAACCTGCTGGCAGAAGAGATCCTGGCTGGTTTTTGCAGCACAGTGTTGATCTGCAATATTTATTTTTTGGAAAATGGCATTTTGCATGCAGATTTCTTCTTTTGGGCTCTCTGAAGCTACAGACCAGCAGATCTCATATCCTTTTTATCTTGTGGTTCATCTTTCTGATGCTGCTTCCTCTTCACGTGTCACGCCTCGGGTTTGTGCTCAGCGCTCAGCCGTGCCCTCCAAGCGTGGCAGGAGGAGGGTCTGGTGGCCAAAGGCCCTGGGGAGCTGGGCAGGGGGAGTGGGGCATTTGCTGTGCCAGGAGGAGGGGGAGAAGCCCTGCATGCCATGGAATGTCCACATGTCTGATTTCAGGGCCGTGGAGAAGCACGGGCTCCCAGCTCAGGTGTTGGAGTCACTCCTACAGCTTGTGCTGACTGTAGAGCAGCTCAGGGTTTAGGGGTGTGAGTGTCCCCTGGATATTAAGGTGCTGAGAATAGCCAGGAGATGCTCTGTAGCCAGGACAGAGCTGAAGTTTCCATGCTTCTCCCATCCTGCAGGTTCCCCTGGTCACTGAGACCACAGAGGAGGGGGAGGTGTGTCTGATTCTCAGCTGTTTTACCCCAAAACTGCTTTGGGATAATCCTGCAGGTCCCCCTGGTCACTGAGACCACAGAGGAGGTGTGTTTGGTTCCCAGCTCTTTTATCCCAAAACTGCTTATTTGTACCCAGCTGCTCCAGCCAAGGCCGTGCAAGAGCCTGTGCAGTGGGAAGGGCAGTGGCTGCTCCTGTGCAAAGGGCTCATGGATGTGACAGGCAAAGAGGAGGCAGAGCAAACCCAAGCCTGGAGTGTAATGGCAGAGGTTAAACCCACAGCCCAGCTGTTTACCTTGGTGAGCACCCAAACACAGAGCAGGGCTCAGAACCCCAGTGCCCAGGGGAGGGCAGGGGCAGGCACAGGGACCCCAGCCCCTCCAGCCCTGTGTGCCAGGCTTCTCCTCTCCTCTCCAGAGCAGGAAAGCTGTGCAGAGAGGGGCTCCTGTTCAGCACAGCCAGCCCAACCTCCCCCTGGGCTTTAACTTTTAAAATTGTGGGGACTTTCACTGCCTCTTTTTATTTTTCTTATTAAAAAGAAGCTGGAATGGGAGAGTTGTTAGTGGAGCTCACAGGAGCTGCTTTACAATAACAAACGTATGTTCCACTTTCCTTTTATATTTGAATTTTGCCGTCTGTGTTTTCTTGTGGTTTCGCAGTCAAAGGAGACATTGTTTCTTAGCCCGGGCTTCCCGTGGGGCGCTGACTTTTAACTGTATGTGACTTCCAACATTCAGCTAATTCATTGGTGTGTTAGTGAAAGCAGAGCCTTTGATGGAAACTCAAACCCAAATCTCGGCTCACGGGGCGATTCGCACTCTCACGCTGGAGCCCTGCCAGGGGGGTTTGCTGCCGAGGGCACATCCCAGCAGCCGAGTTTGTCCTTTTCCCCACCTTCCCAAGCCCCTGGGCAGGGCAGGGCGAGGCCAGGCTGTGCTGGTGCTGAGCAGCATCTTTGTGCCACTCCTGTGCCCATCACTTGCCTGCTCTGGAGCTGGGCTTGGCTCCTGTGGGTGTTTTGGTGCGAGGAAGCACCTGCACCCTTCACACCTGATTTACCTGCAGGACTACAGGCTTGTTTGCACAATGGGATCGTTGTAGGGCCTCTTGAGCTTTGTGCTCTGGTGGATTGATTTCCCTCTGCTCCAGTGCTGCCGCAGGGATTGATGTGCAGCGGCCAAACAGGGATTTTAGCTGCGTCTGGGAAATTCCCTTCAGAACCAATGCCATCAAATGTAAGGGTAGGTCAGCAGCCCCCTCGCTGTGCTGCAAGCAAGGCTGTAATTCTGAGCAGAGGTGAATGAAAAGCTCTCACTGACACTGTCGAGCCTAATTGAGAATCCATTGCTTTTGCTGGCCAGGAGTTCTGGCAGAGGTGAGGGAAGCAGCATGTACCAGCTGGTTTGAGGGGCATGCCTGTGCTCTGCAGGCTTTGTGACTCACAAATACTCCTGGAAGAGGCAGATACGAGGTTTAGTTATTGTTTCCTGTAGGTTCTCGCTGCAGGGCTGTGTAAAGCAAAGCTGGAGTTTCAGAGGTGGGCACTTCCAGCCCAGAGCTGCTCCCGTTCAGAGCCTGCAGGAGTTCCCACAGGGTGGGCAGTGTGCTGTAAACTCACACCAGAGCTCTCTGCTCACGGCTGCCCTGCCCAGCTGAGCCTCCAGATCTCCCTGCTCTCTTGAGACTGATCTGTGCCAGGTCAGGGCTGCCAGCCAGCTCTGCCGTGTCCTGGGGATGTCCTGCTCACCAGGCTCAGGGTGTCTGGGGGGACAGGACTCCTCCTGCCTGCTGCTGCTGCTCAGGGAAAATTATCTGGGGTCTCTCTTTCCTTCTGAAACCACTGCTGAACCCTGCTGCTTCCAGCAGACCCGAGTTGTTCTCTCTAACCGTGCCTCGTGTTGTGGGTTTCAGCATGAAGGAAATTGAGGAGGAGAGAGGTTCCTGAGTCTTGCTATTTTTTTCTTTTTTTATTTTAATTTTTTTTTTTTTTTCACAAAAATGCTTTTTGACCCAGCTATTTTCAAGATCTGTCTGACACTCAGTCCATT